CATTTTATTAACCAATGTCTTTGCTTCTGACCTTTGATGATCCAGTTCAACCGTACTAATAATCACAAATTACTCTAGACAAACATTTGTGTGTTTTTTTTTTTATTGCTGAAGTGTGTTGAAATTTCTTCTTCTGTATTCTACTGTACGGACGTAAATTTACTTTCCCTTTAGCCTGAGGCTTATTCATTTCACTTTTGGTGTGAAAAGGCTTTTATATTTGCCAAAAATATAACTTTTTTATTTTAAAAACAAACAAGCAAGCCCTGTCCAGATTTAAAAAGTAACGCAAAAGTAACGTAATGCATTACTTTCCATAAAAAGTAACTAAGTAACGTAATTAGTTACTTTTTTTATGGTGTAATGCATTACTTTTAAAAGTAACTTTCCCCAACACTGTTTATCAATACATTTTAAGGTAGGCTATACAGATTTTGGTAGTTCAAGTAGATTGCTATGTTAACATTGCGTCACTTGATGAAATATGCATTTATAAGTTGTAAAATATACATTTGACAGGATGAAATAGGGCGTGGTTTTAATCATTTACTTTCACAGTAATATTTCATATCGGTGTACAATGAGCAAACATTGCCTTGTCCATCCTTAAAGACTGCAGTACAGTTAATGAGCTTTAAATGAAGAGAAACTTTATTCATAATATTTATCATTTTTGAGCATAATTTTGAGCATTGAGATCCAAACTGTCCAGGTTATGTATTATTATACTGTTTAAGGTTCAAATAATTCTACACACACAGCCAAGTTTTAAAATGTAAAGATCAATCTATTGAATTCTATCAAAGTGCTTTACAAAAACAAAACAATTAAATAATCATAAAATAATCAAAACAGAGAAGCATGAAAGATAAAATGAACAATAAACATTAAAAACATAAACAAAAACAAATCAGAAGAATGCATAAACAAGACAATGCAGCGCATCAGTCGGACGAAGCCGTGCTCATTCAGCAAATGAAGTAAATAAAGTTCAGTTGAGGAATCTTGGTGTGATACTGGACTCAGACCAAAACTATCACTTTTAACTGATCATCATCATATCGCAAGGAAAACAATATTTTGCAGAAGCCAACTGCATATAACCCTTGCAGTATTGATAAAGATGATACAGGTAAGTTAAAGATGTTACGTATATAACTTAAACATGACTAAAACTAAGGTCTGACTCCAAATCAGGCCAAGATTCCTGACCTTTTTGACCCTTCGAGAGGGGGGCTAAAGGCACACCTCATGGAAACCGTGCTTTTCAATAACGCCATAGTGTAGGATTGCAGAATATATATATATATGTTTCTATTGAACATTGATGGAGCAATACATTTTATGGGGGAAAAAAATCATAAAAGTGGTTTGTTTTGTTTACAAATATTATAAATATACGAGATGGTAATCGAGGTACAAGGCTCGCCAGCATGGGACACAAGGCACTGAAACAAATACTTCAGCTAAAGTCAAATGTTTTTAATAATATCTAAGTTGCAACAAGTCCTCCGCAACGTTTACCATGTTAGATTTTTTGATAAAATAATCATTTTTTATTTAATAAATATATAGTCATTAAAAGACATTCATTTTAAAACACAGAAATGAAATTATTTAAAAAGTAAAAATTCTGAAAGCTTAATAATTTAATATAGCTTTAACAATAAACATGCTATATGATACGATCTCTAATTATCGTATATTATCTCTCTAATCTTTTCTCTAAGATTATCACCCAAGTTACT